CCCATTAAAACCTGACTATCCTTTAATTTGGCTTGTTGTGACTTGGCCTGATAGGGATTTTTGCGTCAGCAGAGAGCTCGCATTAGGAAGAATTCCCAACACCTAGCTGTCCTGAAACTCATGTTGTAGACCAAAGTGGCCTCAAACTCACAGAGATCCACCTGCCTCTGCCTCTCCAGTGCTGGAATGAAAGGCAAGCACTGCTACACTTGGTTGGGTTGTTTGTTTTGAGGCAAGATCTCTCTCTTACCCAGAGTGATCTGAAACATACATCCTCTTCCCTCAGCCTTCTTCCCAAGTAGGGTGATTACAGACACGACCCAGTAAGGAGCTGGAAAGATGGCTCAGCAGTTAAGAGCACTTGGTGTTCTTGTGGGAGACCCACATTCAGTTGGCTCACAACCACTTGTAACCCCAGTGCCAGGGAATTCTTGGTATTGCACACATGTGGTGCATGTACACACACACACATGTAAATAAAATTGGGGAAAATGTTTTGATAATTTATGTTTATTCCTGAATATATGTCTATGCACTCCATGTATGTGATTTTTTTTTTTTTTGCCTGCATGTGTGCTCACGTACCCCTTGCATGCCTAGTCCCCAAGAAGGTCAGAGAGGGTTTTTGATTCCTTAGAACTAAAGTAATTGATGTTTGTGAACTGCCATGTGGGTGAGGGTATCAAACCCTGGTTCTCTAGAAGAGCCGCCAGTGATTGAAAATGCTAAGATGTCTCTCCAGTTTCAAGAAAAATTATTTTAAAAATTAAATTAAATTAAAAACCCCAAGGTTTAACAAAAGTTTGCTTATAAGCCTTGTGACACACACACCTCAATCCCAGCACTCAGGATGGGAAGGCTAATGGGTTGTGTGTTTTAGGCCAACCTGGGCTACTTAGTAAAATCCTGGCTTTTTAGTTTTTGTTTTATTTGTTTGTTTAAAATAATAAATAAAATTTATTTATTTATTTATTTTTGTGTGTTTGAAGGGGGGCGTATATATACCATGGTGCACGGTCAAAGGACAACATGCAGCAGTCAGTTCTAGCCTTTCCCCATGTGAGCCCTGGGGATGGAACTTGAGTGGTCAGGTTTGGCAGCAAGTGCTGTTATCCGGGGAGCCATTTCACCAGTCAGATCTAATTATGATTATACTCCCCAGTACAGAGGCTGAAGCTATGGTGTCATGCATGGGAGGCAAGCACTCTTGCATAGAGTTACAGCTCCAGTCCCCCCCAAGACCCTGCTGTTAAGGGTAGCAGGGTGGGGCGGGGTGGGGGAGTAAGGAGTCGGGGGAGGTGTCAGAATATTCATATCCTTACCACCTGTGTTTTCCTATTTTACTTTTTTCTAAAAGATTCCATAATGTTCCTTAACGGCTTCGTGGCTGGCACTTCTTAAACTCTGAAGGCACGAAGACCACTCAACTCCCGACAGGCACCTGCCCCACGCAACAAAATGAGAAAGGAAAACTCTCAACCCACATACGTGGGGGCTGCCTTTGCTGACTGAGATGAGAACTGAGGTGTCGGCCCGAAATCAAACATCTGATGGAAATGATGCATTTTGATCTCATTCTCTAAGTCTTGGCTCCTGGCAGGTATCCCGAGCCCCGCCCCTCCAACTGTCCCTAAACCACCTTAGGGGCCCCAGCTCCCATTTCCTTTTCACCAAGGTCTGATTCTTCACCTTTCAGACACTGATTGACGGCAGATTGGGAATTCCGCCTCACAGTAAGCCTGGGGACTGTAAACCAGTCACACCTGCTGACCCATTGGGGTACATTCCAGGAACTGGAACGACACTGTGGGCTCGGTGCAGATCCGGCGCCCAGCCAGAGCTCACCACGTAAAGGTTCTTGGAAGCTGGCCCGAGCAGAGTCTGCCCAAAACCCACTGAAGACCAGAGAAAGCCCCAGAAACTTCCCCCAAGTCCAGCTGAGGGGTGCTTCAGGCTTCTGGTGTGCCCATCTGCTTTCTTTATCATTCTAATTAACTGCCAGGGACGCCTTTTGTCAACTGTGAAGTTATGCAAATGATTGAGGTTGGTATTGCTCTTACTAAGAGGCACTTGGTTGCAAAATTGTTTTGACTACTCTAGTATCAAATCCTGTCGATTCTGCACTGGGGCCCCTGCTCTCAGCCCCATCCCACCCCGTTTGAAAGCTGGTTGGGGGCTCTCCTAGCAGTACGGTGTGCAGAGAAGGAACTAAATGAAATTTGCTGAGGAAGAAATTCTTTGCTGTGTCTTGCAGCACAGGTCTAACCTCAGAAATTACTTGCTTCCAGGCAACTCAGTTTTTCTGGGAAAGAAACTCAGCCTGGAAAAGGGGAAAGAGCACCAAGCCAGGAGCTAAAAAGGCAAAGGGTAAAAAGCCCTTAGTGCGATAAAGAACCAGAGCCTGAGGCAACAGCATCACCAGTAGGCGCAGGAATAGAGGGAAAGAGGAGAAAGGAACAGAGAAAAGGCAGAAAGTGAGGGAGGAAGCGGGAGAAAGAAAAGAAAATAATGCATCATGAATAGTTAAACTTGAATTGTGCAATAAGCAACATTTTTTTTATTTTAAGTTTTGTTGACTCCGGGGCGTCATGTGTGCTAACCCCAAAACTAAATTGTTGTTTGTTTGTTTGTTTGTTTGTTTTGAAGTAATGCACAGACAGCAGCCTGTTTACTTTATTCAAATAAATTCTTCTCTCTGTGAAACTGAGTAGGACTAAAGGATGGAGGAAAGCCCATATATTAAACTCTTAAATAGATCCTCTGAGTTCAGAGTCCAAGTCAAGGAGACGAACCGGTCATGGGTCACCAGTCTTGTCCCAGGAAATGAGGCCACCAAAGGAGCCTGTTCACCAGGGGAGATAGCAAATTCAATTCTTTAAAAAAAAGTTCTCAAGGAGAAAAAAAATAGAAAATTCCTAAGTTTCTGAAGCTGAAGTAGTCTCCTCCTCGATGTCCACTCTGAAGCATCCAAAGGCAGAGGTTCCACGTTTGTTTCCACTGAGATGAATGCTCGATTTCCGCAGACCATGGCATGACCGAGGGGAAGCAATGTTTTCGGGTTAGTCCAACTTCTGTGTGCACACAACATCTGAGCCCTGGACATCACAAACTTCCCAGGTGCTGGGAGGTGCTGTTCTGGTTCACCTGAAAATATCCTTTCAGATTGGCTGGCGTCTTATAGTCTCCTTTCAAGACCCAGTGTGTGTTGTTGATGACAGTTGGGTCAGGGTTCCCATAGTTGGGCGGATTTGCATATGGGTCATAGCCAAGCCGAGCCAGCATGGGGGCAATCTGGGCCATATCCCTCACATCTCCAGGGATGTGGCCGGTCCACTTGCAGAGTGCTTCCAAGTTCACGGGTTTGATGACCTGGTCCGTGGATCGCTCAATCTTGGACAAGGAGACGCCCCCAGGCTTGCCAATGAGGTCCTCATGGTGCAGGACTGTGTCATTCCAGGTGATGCCCAGGAAGTCTAGGATGCGCTTGATTGAGCGCCGGTGGTGCAGCACCAAATGCTCATAGTACACAGGCAGGCACTTGTCCCTGCCCACCTCCATGCACTGTGCGTACATCACCTCGATGGCCTTGTTCTACTTTGTAAGACAGTCTCGGTAGCTGCTGAGGTCAAAGCCTGCGATAGTGACCTTGCGAGTGATCATGGAGTGCACGGAGGCTGGGCCATCGCGCACCATTAGCAGAAATTTGGAGTTAGGGAACAGGCGTGCCAAGTAGACAGAGGACTTGAGCGTGAAGGGGTCCTTGTTACACAGCACACGTGCTGGTTCGCCATGCTTGGCAATCACCTCCAGGATGAAGGCCTGCATGGCGGCATCCAGCACCTCGTCTGTCACACCTGCTTCGTCCAGTCTTAGATCCTCCCGGCCAGACTTTGACCAGGCTTGCCGCATGGCCAGCACACGAGGGATGATGCACGTCTCTTCCCCACAGCGCACCTCAGGATGCGTGTCCAGCATGGCACTCATGAGGGTGGTGCCACTGCGAGGTACGGCACCCACAAAGATGAGCGGCATGGCCTTGCCATAGCGGTACTCCACCTGGTTGGCACCAAGCATCACCAGTTCCTCCTGCTCTGGCCGCATCCTCCTTGTGTTCCGCATGCCCCCGAGTACTGCCCGGCACTCTAACACTTGCTGCCCAAGTTGCAGGGCCAGCAGCAGGGCCAGTGCGCAGCCAGCAGCCAGCAACACCTTACACACCGACAGGCGCATGCCCAGCCAGGGGGGCAGGCCCACCTGGTGTGCATTGTGCCCAAGTCGGCGCCCGCGCCACTAAATTGTTTTTAACATAAATATATATCACAAATGGATAGCACTATTTTCTTTTATATTTATTTATTTTATCTGTATTGGTATTTTGTCTGCATGTGTGAAGGTGTCAGATCCTCTGGAACTAGAGTTACAGACAGTTGTGAGCTGCCATGTGGGTACTGGGAATTGAACCTGGGTCCTCTAGAAGAGCAGTCATTGCTCTCAACCACTGAACCATCATCTCTCCAGCCCCTGGATAAAACAAAAATTTATTAACCAAAACTCGAATTCATATAACTCTAAAAAGACTTGAATGCCTTGAACATTTGAAATGTTTCTTCTGTGTAATTCCAGGGCAAACCTGGGTCCTTATGTCAGGGGTTTTCACTAGTCATGCCCTTCCTCCAGTCTAGCAATTGGTGCTTTCGGTGTTGGGGAACAGGAGACAGAATCTCACTCTGTAGCCCTGGCTGGTCTGGAACTCACTACACAGATTAAGCTGACTTGCAACTCACAAAGATCTGCCCAGCACTGCCTCCAGAATGCTGGGAAAGGTGTGTATGCCACCATGATTGGCTACAATGATTGTTCTCAATCCCAGAATAGGAGGATGTGTGGAACCCACAGGTCAATTTCTAAGCATCATTATTTATTGCTTTCTATCTTACTTTCTTAAATGAGGGTCTGCCATTGTACCTGGTGCTAGGGCTTAGTACTGAAGTCCCTATGCTAGCTCCTCAGCCACATGATGGGTGTTTTGCTGTCACTTGTGGGAAAAATCTTTAAGAGACTGGGAACTCTGGGAAAGACAAGCAAGCTCTGTGTTAACCTTCTAAAGAGTCAGACTGTGTCACTGTAGAACGCCAGGGTCAGGACACACCCCAAAGGTGGTTTAACCTGATGCAGCCAGACTATCAGAATTTACAACCCCCTTTTAGACTTGTGACCACTCCAATACAATGGTTTCTGAAAGACTATTAGTCTAAAAAACATTTCTCCTTGGTCCAACCTGAAGGCAAGTTCCAACTCAATTCCCATCTTCCCTCCTAACTCCTCTGTTTGTCCTGGGGCCACTCACCAGTCTGCCCATCTCCTAGCTCACCAATTCAGCGTGGTGGACATTTCTGATGCACCCTGCACCCACCCCATCTCCCCAGTTCTACATCCAATAAAAGCAGACCTCATCTTGCCACTCCCCGGCTATAGATCCTCCTACTATGCATCTCAGGCTCAGTCTCAGCCCCGAGCAGCAGACAAGCAGGACAAACCAGGACACCTGATGAAGTAAGACAAGCTTCTTCCAGTCACTTAGGAGAAACTGTTACTCCATGAGGGGGTGAGAGCTGAGAGTTGGAGCTCCTGAGTAGGGGACTCTGTGACTCAGCCTGGGGTAACAACCAGGCTAAATCCAGTTACAAATAGACCTCTGAGTTTCTAAATAAAAAATGTGAATCTAGTCAGGTAGCAGTGGCTCACGCCTTTATTCTGAGCACTCGGGAGGCAGAGGCAGGCAGATCTCTCTGAGTTGGAAGCCAGTCTGCCTAACAGCATGACTTCTAGGAGAGCCAGGGCTACACGGTGAAGCCATGTCTTGAAAAAACAAAACAAAACAAACAAACAAAAAGAAACAAAATAAAATATTTTAAAAGTCAATTAAAATTAAGAGATGTCATTTTTCACCTGTCATCAAGGGGCAGAACAAATAATAAAAATGACCCAAGTAGGTCCCTGAAACAGACTCCGCCTCACATTGTTATAGAGTAAATTTCATTGGTGCGGCCTCTGTGGTTATTAGTAACATCTACCAGAAATTTAAATATATAAAGTCTGTCCCAATGATGTAGGAGGATCATCTGTCTATGTGTTACTTTCATTGGTTAATAAAGAAACTGCCTTGGCTTGATAGGTCAGAACATAGGTGGGTGGAGTAGACAGAACAGAATGCTGGGAGAAAGAAGCAGAGTCAGGCAGACGCCATGATTCTCCGAACCAAGACGGACGCAGGTTAGGATCTTTCCTGGTAAGCCACCACCTCGTGGTGCTACACAGATTACTAAATATAGGTTAAAGCAAGATGTGAGAATTAGCCAGTAAGAGGCTAGAGCTAATGGGCCAGGCAGTGTTTAAAAGAATACAGTTTCTGTGTAATTATTTCGGGTGTAAAGCTAGCCGTGCAGGAGCCGGGCGGGACGAAAAGCAGGCCTGCTTGCCTCATCACTACATCCCAGCACAGGACTACTGAGGCAGATGAATGAATAATGTCCATTTGGGTATTTGCTGCAGCCTTGTTCTCACAGCTAAATTTTAGGACCTAAGAGAGGCTAAGCTTATGCTACAACCATCCAATTAGATGGTTTTCTTGTTTTTTTTTTTTTAATTTTTGTTTTGCAGTTCTAGGGATTATACCCAGGACTTTGAGCATGTTAAGCAATGTTCTACCACTGGGCTGTGCTCCCAGCCCGATTAAATATTATGCTTTTTCAAAAAGAATGAGGGGTGCTGGGCAGTGGTGGCATGTGCCAGCACTTGTGAGGCAGAAGCAGGCAGATCTCTGTGAGTTAGAGGTCAGCTTGGTCTACAGAGCGAGTTGCAGGACAGGCTGTAAAGTTACACAGAAAAACCCTGTCTCAAAAAAGGTGGGGAGGGTTGGGGAGAGGACTTAGTGGCTCAGTTAGTAAGTCAGGCAAGTATGAGGACTCTAGTTCAAATCCCTAACACCCAGTGCTGGGATTAAAGGCATTTACCAATATGCCTGAATTTTTGGTGGCTTTTAAATTTTTCTTACACACACACACACACATATTTCATATATATCATTTATAATTTATGATATGTATGTATATATATAAAATTTTAAAAGAAATGAATTTCCCATCACAGGGCTCCATGAGAATAATGAGCGTATCGAGCAGCTGCTCAGCCCTGCCTGAGCTAAGAAAGCCCCGTCCCCTGCTCAGTTTTCCATCTATGCAATACAAGTTTGCAAGGGGGAGAATGGCTGCTCTAAAGCTTCAGCTAACCAGCCAAGTGAGTGGCCATGAGATAGCCGTGGATGGCATGGTGGAGGGGACACAAAAGAAAAGGTTACAACTGAAATCAGGATGCAGCATGGGTCACCTGTCACCTGGCGGATAGGAACACTTCTCTGGCTCTGGACAGATAACCATGGGTTAGGCTGTCTCTGCCAGGACTGGAAGAATCAGGACCCTGACAGCTCATGCAGATGCCAGTTACCAGGCTTCCCCTGCCTCCGCCCACTGGAGCCCTTGGATGGCCCAAGGAAAGAATGGAGCAAGGTTGGGGTACCTGGGTTGGGGGTACTGGCTGTCCTCTGACCTCCACATGTTCTCCTTAGTTTATGCACCCTCCCCCTAAAGCAAATAAATAAACAGCCTGGTATGATGACTCGCACTTTTCTTTTCTTGAGACAGAGTTTCTCTGTGTAGTTCTATATGCTCCAGAACTTGTTCTGTAGACCAGGCTGGCCTCAAACTCAGAGATTCCAGCTCTTCAAAGGCAGAGGCAGGCGACTCTGAGAATTTGAAAGTTCCAGGCCAGTCAGGGCTATTTAGGCTATTGCCTAAAAACCAATAACAATTAAAAACCAAAACAAAACCTAAATAAATGTAATTAAAAAAACTTACTTTAAGTCAGGTGGCATGTGCCTTTGATCTCACCCCTCGAGAGGAAGAGGCAAGTGGATCTCTATGAGTTTGAGGCCAAACTGCTCTACATAGGAGTTCTAGGACAGCCAGGGGTATATTAGAGAGACCCTGTCTCAAAAAACAAGCAAAAAAATTATTTCAAAACATAAATATTGGGCTGGAGAAATGGCTCAATGGTTAAGAGTATGCACTGCCTTTCCAGAGGACCCAAGTGAGTTCCTCCCAGCATTCATGTCAGGCAGCTGACAGCCTCCTGTAACTCCAGCTCCAGGGGATCCAAAGCCTCTGGGCTCCACAGGCATCTGTACTCACGGGTGCAAGCCCATCCACACATATACACATATTCATAAAATGAAATCAGAATCCTTAAAAACAAAACTATGAATAGAATCACGTGTTCATTGCTTCCTGGGAAGAGGGGGACGCAGACGAGGAGGGTGTGCCTTCTGGCCTCACTTTGGCTTACTCTCTTCTCTACAAGGCTCAGCAGCTTACCTGCTTGCCTGCCCCTTCACCTCAGTGTGTTCAAAGGAAGTGGCTCCCACCCCACGCTAGAGCCAGGATCCTATCCTACCCATCGACTTCTCTGAGTCAGCTTTCCTCTAACAAGGATGTCTATACAGACAGGTGGATGGCGGTCTTGAGATGCCAGCTACCCTGAGTCTCAGAGAGGTCTGACCTTACAAACGTTTCTGACAGACTCAATATTAGGTTTTTCTCTTAATATTGGAGCCAAGGAAAAATGTTTATGAATCAAGCATGCAAGCACCTCATTTCCAGCCCCTTGTTCCTTCACCTTTTCAGGTTTTAGAAACAGAGGACTTAACTTGTTTTATTTCATTTTCATTTCATGCTAAGCAAGCATTCCACCAACTGAGCGGCATCCTTAGCCCACACCATAGAAGACTTGAGTTCCTGTGTTAGACGAGCCCTGGCTACCCGACCAAGTTACTCCCCTGCCTGGGGCCTCATTGGCAGGGACAGAGGCTTGGCCCAGAAAGCTGCCTGTGATCAGGTGTCCCCAGGTGGCTCTTGTGCAAGAGGCCAGTTGATAGACTTTAGGAGGTGGCCTCCTGCCACATCTACAAAGAGAGGAGCTTGTTTTCCATTCTTCTTGAGAATTCTATCCAGAAGCTGAAGACTGAGCCAAGCAAGTTGGGGCTTCTGGGAATACAGCATATGTTCCTCTGGGTGGGCTTTGACTCAGAAAGTTGCTTCCATTCAACCTCTGTCTGAGGCTGAGAAAGAAGCCAACAACAGAAGAACAAGGTCAGCAGGAGACCAGAACTGCCAAGGCCTGGGACATCAGGAACCTGGATTAAGTTAGCCATGCCTGCCTTAGCCTGGGGTCAGGAAATCCAATACAGCTTCTGCTTGCTGTAGCAGTTGGGAAAAATGCTAGGTGATTCTGGTTGTTTGCAACCAAGGAGGTAATGGACACACGATTCTACTCACATTTTAAAATTATTTTTTTTGTTTTTTTATTATGTTTATTTATTTAGATTGCTTTTTTGTTGTTATTTTTTGGTCAGGTTTTCTTGCTTTTTGTTTCTTTTTGAGACAGGGTTTCACTATGTAGCCTTGACTGACCTGGAAGCTCCCTATGCAGACCAGGCTGGTCTAGAACTCACAGAGATCTACTTGTTTCTGACTCCTGAGTGAGTGTTGGAATTAGAGGCATATGCCACTATGCTTAGCTGTTTTTTATTTACCTTGGTGCTGTGGCACACATGAGCTAAGGTGAACATGTAGTCAGAGGACAGCTTGCACTAACTAATTCTCTCCTTCCACTATGTGGGTCTTAGAGATTAGATTCAGGTTGTCAGGTTTAGTAGCAAGTCCTTTTCCCACTGAGCCATCTTACTGGCCTATTCACATTTCAGTAAGAGAGTGGCAGTAAAGATTAATAACAGAGTGGAGAAAGTTTCATAAATTCCTATCAACATTGCTTGGGCAGGGGCTGGAGAGATGGCTCAATGGTTAAGAGCACTGACTGCTCTTCCAGCACAGTTGAGTGGAATACAAGTATGTGAAACTACAGCTCCAGGAGATCCAATGCCTTCTTCTGACCTCTGAAGCACCCAAATGCCATGCATGTGTATACACACACTTTAAAATAGATCTTAAACAAACAAACAAAACCCAAAAGAGCCCAGCTTGGTCAAGCCTGGTGTTGCAGCACAACCTATAACCTCAGCTGCTTGGGAGAATGAGGTAAGAAGATGACAAGTTCAAGGCCAGTCTGGGCCTCATAGTTGAACTCAAGGTCAACCTGGAAAACTGAGTGAGACCTTATTTTAGAATAAAAAGCAGCTGGATCACTTGTTAGTTACCCTAGCTCAATCTGTGAGCTCCAGGCTCTGTGGAGGATGGTCTTTTAAAAGTAAGGTGTAGAGGGGTTTGAAGAGATGGATCAGTGGTTTAGAGGACTTGTTCTCGCAGAGGACCTGCGTTCAATTTCAAGAACACACGTAGAGGCTCACAACCATTCATAATTCAAGAATCTGACATCCTCTTATGACCTCCATGGGTATCAGACACACAAGTGGTATACAGACATGCATGCAAACGAAACACTCATACACATTAAATAAATAAATGCATAAATAAATAAGGTATAGGGCTGGGGAAATGGTTCAGTGGTTAAGAGCACTTGGAACTTTACAGGAAATCCGTGTTCAGTCCCAGCATCCATGTCAGGCTACTCACAACTGCCTTAACTCCAGTTTCAGGGTCTGATACCCTTTGCCAGCCTCCACAGTCACCTGTACACACGACGACATATATTCACACAACTACTTATATCTATAAAATAAAAGTGAATCTAAAAAAAAAAATCAATCATAGCCAGGCGGTGGTGGCGCATGCCTTTAATCCCAGCACTCGGGAGGCAGAGGCAGGCAGATCTCTGTGAGTTTGAGACCAGCCTGATCTACAAGAGCTAGTTCCAGAACAGGCTCCAAAGCTAAAGAGAAACCCTGTTTCAGAAAAAAAAAAATCAATCACAAAAAAAGGAGCAAAGTAACTAAGAAAACATCTGCTGCCGAGCTCTGGGTTCCTGGTTTGCACACTCACAGGTGCATGTGCACCTGTATGAAGATGGGCACATTCACGTGAACACATACACACACGTACACTATAAACACACACAAAGAATCTACATATTGTAATGTAATAAACATTAAAATAAATAAATACAAAACAATTACACTGGGCATAGTGGCACATTGTAATCATGCCATAATCACAAAACTAAGGAAGCTGAGGCAAGATAATGAGTTCAAGGCTAGCCTGAGCTTCAGAATGAGACCATGTCTAAAAATGGAGCAAATACTTTAAGGAAAATATGTAGATACCAAATAAGCATTTGAAAATATATTTGACATTAATAAAAGTAAGAGGTATTAATAATGTAAAGTTAAATTAGAATGTCATACCATTAGAATGGCTAAAAATATCTACCTTTCACCTGGAGAGATGGCTCAGTGGTTGAAAGCGTTGGCCACTCTTACAGAGGACCTGGGTTCAATTCCCTGCACCCACATGGCAGTTTACAACTATAATTCCAGTTCTAGGGGATTTGACATCCTCACACAGATATACATGTGGGCAAAACACTAGTGCACATGGAATAAATAAATGTCTTTAAAAGAAAACAAAAGAAAAAAATATCTACCTTTCTTATTGGGTGTCTCCCCCACCTTGTGCTACCTTCAGAGTGTTGGGAGTATAGGTGTATGCTACCACCCATCCCTCTTGATTCCTAAAGTTACCTACTTACAGCACAACCTCACCATTCTCCTGTAGATATTTTTACACACGTGAAATAGTAACATTCACACACAGATAGTATGCAAGTGCTCACAGCAAGTTTATTAGTAATAACTCCCAACCAGAAACAACCCAAATATTCACTAACTGATCACAGGATTAAAAACCTGCGGCATGTCCATACAATGGACTAGTACTCAGCAATCTAAAGGACAAATATTCACACAACAAAATGTTTCCAACTTTTAATTATGCTGTGTAAAAGACAAACCGTACATTCTATTTTATTTCCTTTATGGAAAAAAAATGTAGAAAAGAGCCAGAGCTGAGTGGTGGTGGCGCACACCTTTAATCCCAGCACTCAGGAGGTAGAGGCAGGTAGATCTCTGAGTTTGAGACCAACTTAGTCTATAGAGTGAGTTCCAGGACAACCAGGCCTACACAGAGAAACCCTGTCTCAAAAGAAAGAAAAATGTAGAAAGGATTAGTGATTTTTTGGTATGGAAGGAAAGAGGGAGAGATTACAAAAAAGACACACAAAAATGTTTGGATATGGTAGAGAAATTCATGATCTTAATTGGGGTGACATTTTCATGGATGTATACATCTCAACATTCATGACAATAAAATTATATTTTAAATATATGCTTTATTGTATATCAATTATAACAACTATAAATGTGATGTGTTAAGCAAATCTTTGGTACATCCAGGCACTGGAAGTGTAAAAAAAGAGATTGATTCTCATGCATTTAAGCTAAAGGAGTTGGAAGCTTCAGTAGGAATTCCAGAAGCAGTAAGGGAATGTATTAGCTCATCTACATGGAAGGCCAGAGGCCACAAGTACAGTCTGATTGACCCTACTTCTAGTACCAGACACTATATTTACCTACAATTGCGGAAATTGCCAGGGAACTTAGCTCCAAATAATGGAATCTACTCTAACTGGTTTTTAAAGGATAGGTGGCTCACACAGTCTCTGACTCAGGGTGGGAGTGTTGGAGACCTGGGTTTGGAAGTCATATAGCCAGACAGAAATAGTATCTAAATTTTATCAGCAGAAAGCCTGTGTTTGTTTATTTATTGAAACTGATTAAGTAATTAATTTAGTGCTGTGCTTGGGCATCAAACCCAGGGCTCTGAATGTGCCAGGCAAATATTTTGCAGAAAGCTTGCGCTTTGCTCCCGTTAGGTACATTGCAGTTCACACTGGAACAGCCCGTAGGACATTCTCTCCCATAGTTCCCCCAGTGCTTCTTGCCAGGAGGCTCTCTACAGCTTCCCTACTCTCCAGCAGCAGGCTTCTGAGTCAGACAACTGCATCTGACTGGATGGACTTCCAAAACCTGCCAGGGCTCTCAGCTGAGGGGAGGCAGAAGAGCCTTCCAGCCTGCAGAGGCAGAGGGGGCACTGTATTGCTGCAGAATGAGTTCCTGTACTGGGTGATCACACCCTAGTAATGGCACACGCTCTGCGAGAGAAAGTCATTTATTTCCACTTTCCAGCTAAGGAACCTGACACTCAAAACCTGAAGCCACTTACCCATGGCTACACAGTAGAGCCTTGCTCTAGGATTCAGAAAACATCTTCCGGTTTCCACAGTTTGAACCCCATAGGTAAGATGAACGAAGAAAACATGGTGCACCATTGGCTGCTCTCTCGTTACAACATGGCTCTTCCCTTGATCCAGAGTTCTGCAATGCAGGTACAGTTGGTTCACAGAAGGAGCCTGGAAAAACAGTCACACAAATTATAAAAGGCAAGCCACAATTCTAATTGTCCCCCAAACAGGATAAAACCCACAGCTCAAGATAAAAACAAGACTATAAAGCCAGACATAGTGAAACACAATTTTAGTTCAATTCAATACTCTGGTGGCAGAGACAGGTAGATTTCTGTGAGTTCAAGGCCACCCTGGACTATGGAGAGTTTTAAGAAAGCCAGTGCTACAAAGACACTATCTCAGACAAACAAACAAATACCCCAAAATCTGAGAATACAAAGAAACACAAATGATTTATTTTCCTAGCAATAAGTTCTATTTTTTTAAATTGTAAACCAAGTTTTAATGCTTTATTTTAAAAAGCATTCTGATTTTTTTTCCGCACAGAGCCCATGTGTTAGAGGCTTAGCCCCCAGTGATTCTTTTTTTTAAATTTTATTGATTTTTATTGAGCTCTACATTTTAAGTTCTATTTTTTAAGCATATATGTATTTTTAATTTTTGAATATTTATTTTATTAATTAAGTGTATGAGTGTTTTGCCTGTGTATGAATGTGTATTACATGTGTACCTGGTGTGCTGGGTGTTGGATCCCCCTGCAACTGGAGTTACAGATAGAATCTACCATTTGGGTTCTGGGAATTGAACCATGGTCCTCCACAAGAGCAGAGAGTATTCTTAACAGCTGAGCCAACTCTCAAAAAATGTCATAAGCAAATAGTACATAAGCACATATGGAACAAAGCATGCCAATCATGCCAGCCTGGGCCTATACTCACTCCCATTTAAAAGTCTTGGCCTCTGCCTCAAAGAGTCTAAACGAAGTAGAAGAAATGATAGCACATGCATTCAAGTGTGTTGCATGGTCTCTGTGATTTGTTTTTGTTTTTTGAGACAGGGTCTCACTGTGAATGGGTAACAGAACTATGTGGACAGGGCTGGCCTGGAGCTCACAGAAATCTGCCTGTCTGACTGACAGTTTTGTCATCTTGGCATAGTCTAGAATTATCTGGGAAGAGTCTCAAGTGAGGGATTGTTTAGATCAGGTTGACCTGTGGGGTGGGCATCTTGATCACGTTAATTGAGGCAGGAAGATCCTTTCCTAGACAGGGGACCCTGGTCTGTGTAATAGAGGGAAAACAAGCAGCGTGCAAGCATACCTGTATTAATTCATTGTTCTCTGCTCTTGACAGGAAATTTAATGTGACTAGATGCTTCACGTTCCCCACAATGATGGACTATGGTCTGAAATTGTGAGCCAAACTCTTTCTCCTTCTGGTTGATTTTGTCTTACCACAGCCATAGAAGGCTAAAAGAAGAGTCTCCTTGCCTCTGAGAGGTAGGTAGTGAATACAGGAGACTCCTGAGTCAACCATAAAGGTAAATTCTTTGTTTTTTCTTTTTTTTTTTTCAAAGGTTTCACTGTAGCTTTGGCGCCTGTCCTGGAACTCACTCTGTAGAACAGGCTTCCCTCGAACTCACAGAGAACCACCTGTCTCTGCCCCCCAAGCACTGGGATTAAAGGTGTGTGACACCACCGCCTGGCATAAAGCTAAATTCTTGATCTGGGGAGAGAAGACTGCTTGGGATAGAATGAGGACCGATAGAGGCCTTGTTTGATGCTTACCACTGCTTCTCTAGTTTACTGTGGGTTGTCACATATACAGACCCCGAAGATACAGACTTGAAGATGAATGCAAGAGGCTTTTTTAGAAGGCAGTGACAGGTACACTGGTAGAGGAATGGAAAAATCTTCCCACCTGAAATACAATAAGCCAGGGTAAGTAGCAAACACAGAGAATATTTGGGAACTAGAAGGACATGTTCATGTCCCTTTAATGTTGACCCACCTTGCTGGCAGTCTGCTCCAGCCAGAGAAAGCTCTTTGCAAACACAGAGTGGCAGTAGCAATGTACCACCTTGATATGTCCAGGGACCTTAGCACTCCCGGCAGCCCCTTTAGAAAAGTTACTGGGAGCTGGGGAAGAAGGTGGGATTGAGAGTCTCACTCTCTCTATATATTTTTAAAGATAGATCATTCATTCATTCATTCATTTATTTAGTATAGAATGTTCTTCCTGCTTGTACATCTCCATGCCAGAAGGTTGTGTGGCACTATATGGTTGCTGGGAATTGAACTCAGAACCTCCGTAAGAGCAGCCAGTGCTCTTAACCTATGAGCCATCTCTCCAGCCCCTCACTCTGTGTTTCAGACTGGTCTAGAACTTAAAAATGTAGCCTAGGTTAGCCTCAATATCACGGCAATCCTGCTTCAGTCTCTTGAGTGCTAGGATTACAAACACGAGCTATTGTACCTGGTTTTGTGTAGTACTTTGTTTGTTTGAGTCAGGGTCTCCTCGGTCTCCTTATGTATCTCTGATGGCCTGGTACTAACTGTGTAGCCCAGGATAGCTTCAAACTCCCAGAAAACCTCTCCTCAGCCTGGAATTATAAGTATGGCACATCTGACTGCTGTTCTTATTTGGACAACAGTGTTATAATATCAGACATATTTCTGTATCAGCTAATGAGAAAGCAGGTACAGCTAAAATGGGAGCACACTGAGTGTTTTGGAGAGACTTTATTAAAGGGAGAATGGGATGGCCTTGGTCTTGTATGCAATTCCATATATACTTTCCAGACTGTAGTGCTGTCCTGGGGGACACCACCCATCCAGGTGAGTTCTGCTGAAGCACAGAGGTGCAAATTCTCATTCAGAACCTCTAAGGCACTGGGTTCAATGTCTTTGATTTTCTTGGATAATAAAATCCTTTGATAGAAAGATTTATCTCTGAACATCAAAGTAGGAACTAGGTCCTGAATGTTTCAAGACTGTTGTTTACTCCCAACCGTGTCTCATTTGCACACACCTGCTGAATGAATATGTGAAACAGACATGTGTTGAATGAATAAGGAAATGACTAGAGTTTCAGCCTTCAGGACTGGAACAGTCATCCTATGTGAGCTGTGTTTGATCTCCCTGAAGGAAATGGGTCTGAGCAAACACGATCTGCTGTTTAGAAAGATTAGCTTCCACAGCCACTGCTCTCAGGACTCAAGCCACTAAGGACTCACACAGCTTTTTTTTTTTTTTAATATTTATTTATTTATTATATATACAATAGTCTTTCTGTGTGTATGTCTGCAGGCCAGAAGAGGGCGCCAGACCTCATTACAGATGGTTGTGAGCCACCATGTGGTTGCTGGGAATTGAACTCAGGACCTTTGGAAGAGCAGGCAATGCTCTTAACCGCTGAGCCATCTCTCCAGCCCCGGCTTTTTTTTTTTTTTATCGTCAATAGATGATGAATTTTTCTCTCTAATGTGTTTCTGCGAGTGTGCACAGGCAGGTGCCATGTTTAAAAAGAAAACAGGCAGAACAGGGTATGGTGTTGCACAACTGTGGTCCCAGCATTTGAGAGATAGGGCCAGAAGGCCAGGACATGTCAAGTTTGAAGACAGCCTGGTCTAAATAGTAAGTTCTGAGTCAGCCTGGAAGACCCAGGCATTTAAGGAAAAAAAAACAAAAAAACTGGCATGTCTGTACTCTCAGCACTCAGGAAGTAGAGATAAAAGGACAGGAATTCAAAGTCAGCCTTGTTTACATGAGACTTTGTCTCAAAAAATAAAATAAAGAAAGGAGCCTGAGTAGATGATTCACTGAATAAATCGCTTGCCGTGCAGACATGAGAACACAGGTTCAGATCCCTAGCACCCCCACGAAAGGGAAGCTTGAGACTATGCACCTGTAACCCCAGCTTTAGAGACTAGGGTTGCAAACCAGGAGGATTCTAAGATTTGCTGACCAGCCAGCCTAGGCAAAGAGCAAGCTCTCAAAAATAAGGTGGACAGCAATTAAGGAAGACATCCAGCATTCATTCTGAACCCCACGAGTCCATCTAGATGAGCGCACCAGTACACACACACACAGACACACACACAGTGTCATGACACACTCTAGCATCAACTTAAATAAAATTAGCAACAACTTTTTTGCTAAGACTGACAAATACCTGGGATGAGTGAGATGACCAGACTTCAGAGATGAGGGGCACCTGGGATAAAACAAAACAAAACCCTGCAGAAACAAAACCCAAAATCTAAAACTGAAACAAATAAAAATGTGTTTAGATGACAGAAACAGGGCCCCAAGGGACAAAGCTGCTATTGAGCATTTAGGGTGTCTAGAGGCATCTGTGTACACAGTACTTTAGCATGATCCTGAAAGGATCTAGGCATGGTACTACAGGCAAGCAGTCCCAGCCACTGGGAGGCTGAGACCAAAGTATGTAGAGTTCAAGGCTAACATGGGCAGTTTACAGAGATATTATCTTGAAAAACAGGAGGAGGAAGGAGACAAAAAGGAAAGAATAGGCTTGCTCAAACCTGTGCTATTATTGCCCAATTCAATTTCTTTCCTTCATAGTCAAACTTAGTCAAAGAGAGGAGACTCCTCTCTAGATTCCCCTACATGACTTCATACTGCAACTAGGCTAGAATCCACTCTTTGCCATGGTGGAGAAAGCCTACTAGGTTCACTGTGGTTTAGAAATCATACTGGCCTTAATCTATTAATGCAGAAATGTGATTCTCTAAATATAAACTATTCTTAGATTCCTGGACATACCTAGTTTGGACATGATACATTCTTTTTGCCTACTGTTGAATTCATCACTCATCTTTTCCTTTAAGATTATGGGGACTGGAGATAAGGCTCAGTGGCTAAGAGTGCTTACTGCTCTTACAGAAGACTTGATTTTAGTTTTCAATTGTGTGGCTCACAACCACCTGCAACTATAGCTCCAAGGCACACTATGCCTCTGGTCTATGCAGCTACCTGCACTCATGTAACATGTACACACATACCCATGGGAGTGTATGCGGGCCTGTGCTCGCATGTGCGCGCGCACACACACACACACTTTTTAAACTAATAAAAATTAAATTTAAAAACTAATTCACTAATCTTTTTTTTAATCCTTAATTTTATTTACTTGAGATAGGGTCTCACTGTGTAGCCAAGGATAACTCATTCTACAGCACAATTTAGTTGTTATTTTTGTTACTGTGACAAAATACAATTTGCTGTGAAAACAACAGCTTTAGGAAGGGTTTGATTTGGCTTTCAGTCTGAGGATTCAGTTTACCGTGGTGGAAGATTGACAGCTTAGATTGAGGCAGCTTGGTACACCTCACCCACAGTCAGGAAGCAAAGAGAGATGGAAGCTGTGTTTGCTTTCTCCTTTCTTTTTTTAATTTAAAAAATTTAGTTGGGTGTAGTGGCAACATCCTTGCTTGTTTTATTTATTTAAAGAATATGAGTGAAATAAGAAAACAAAACAATGCCCCCCCCCAAAAAAAACCCAAAACCAAAATCAAAGCAAAAACAAAACAAAAAAGCAACCAAACAACAACAACAACAAAAAAAATCAAAACAAAAAACAAGGTAACTGGCATACACAATCTTGGGGGTTGGGGATTTAGCTCAGTGGTAGAGCACTTGCCTAGCAAGCACAGGGCCCTGGTTCCATCCTCAGCTCTGGGGGAGAAAACATAAAATAACAAAAAAGACTAAAGCGTATGAGTATTTTGCCTGCCTATATGTCTGTGTACCATGTGTCTGCCTGGTGCCCACAGAGGTCAGAAGAGGGCATTAGATCCCCTGACCTTGGAGTTACGGTGTCCTGTGGGTGCTGGGAATTGGGTCCTCTGCAAGAACAGCCAGTACTCTTAACCAATGAGCCATCTCTTAGGCTGCAGCAGTCTTTGTATTCAGTCCAGGAACTCAGCCTTCTGGATAGTACTGCTCACACTTAAGGTGGCTCTCCCCACCTCAATGAATTCAATGTAAGAACTCCTTCTTGGACATGCTCTGAGATTTCGCTCCTAGATTATTCTAGATCTTGTCAAGTTGACAACATCAACCGTCACACCTAGATAGGCTTCAAACTGTCAATCCTGCTGTTCCTGACTCCAAGGGCTAGAGCTATGTAAGTGTCATCAGAGTTGTTTAAAGTTAAAAACATTTCTTTTGGTGTGTGTATGTTAACCACATTGAAGTTTTTGTGTTCTTCTAAAGCATCAAAAAGGAAAAGAAACTGAATACTTCATAAACTAGTTTCACTTAAAAAGTTATTTGAGGTCTGACTGGCCTCAAACTCAGTGATCTGCCTGCCTCTGCCTTCCAAATGCTGGGTTTGAAGGCGTGCACCACTATACATGGGCTTATTTTCATTTCTATTTTATGTGTATGGGTGTTTGTACTTCAAGTGTCAACACCAGGAGAGGGTGTTGGATCCCTTGGAACTGGAGCTACAGACAGTTGTGGGTTGGGACTCAAACTTGGGTCCTCTGGACGAACAGCTAGTGCTTTGGACTAGAGAGCCATCACTCCTGCTCTAAAGATAAAATCTTATACCCAGCTAAACTGGTATTAATTCTGGGTGCCTAAAGACAGGAACTGGGCTGTAGTCCTGAGGTAGAGCATTTGTCTATCATATGTAAGGCCCTGGATTCAATTTACAACACAAACAAATAAACAAATAATAAAATAAAAATATTTCACATTTAAATACTTAAGATCTGCCAGCACATCCACATTAGAATTTATATTTCAATGCTCTCCAGCAAAATAAAGACACAACAAAAAGAAGTAAACTTCCTATCTAGGATGTAGTGGTCTCGGGCTAGGAGGAGCAGCCAAAGGAACTGACCATGTAGTAAGCGTGACCCCAGTCAACCAGCTCAAACTAGAAAAGTAATATAGAGGGTTCCAGGAGGAAGGTTTCCAAGAAAAATATGGTATAATAGGATCAAGTACTACTCTGGGCAGAATAGGGAAATAAAAGAGATCAATTATACCTAAGGTACTGCCAGAAAAAATATAATTAGAAACTCTAACCCAAAGACAAATTCCTATAAGGAATAAATGTAATTGGAGGAATAAATGTAATTGGAACGTATTACACTATTTGGCTCTCTTATTCCACATTTATAAAGTCAAAAAAGTATAGAAACAGTTTAATGAAATAATTAAATGATAATTGAATTCAGAGAAATAAAGGATGGAAGGTAATCTAAGATATTTAAATCACTACTGATCGCAGCAAAAATAAACATAAAAGATCTAAAATAGATACATAAGAAAATTATTATAGGACTATATTTATTTATGCATATGTGGGAGAGAGATGTGCATGCATGTGGTGGTCAGAAGACAATTTGCAAATATTGGTTCTTTCCTTCTACCATATGGGTCCCAGGGATCAAACTTGGTGGCAGACACCTTGACCCGCTGAGCATCTCAATGGCATTCAAGCATACGCTTTAGAGAAATGGGGTAATTACCACAAGAAATATATATATATATATATATATATATATGAGAGTGGAAAAGGCTGGCCTATGGCAAGAAGGACTTAGGAATGGAAATAGGCTACCACAGGCATTTTTGTTTTTCACTATAAGCCATCATACCTTGCTTGATTATGAATTATGGCTATTCATTGCTTCAGAAAAATTTAAAATTGGGTTGAAGATGTAGCTTAATTGTTAGAACACTTGTCTAGTAGATAAGAAGCTCTGGTTTAAATCCTTGGCAGTGCATTAAAAAAAAAATAAGAAACGATAAAAGATACTTAAAAAAATATTTTTTTTTGGAAACATGGTTTCTTTGTGTAGTCCTAAAAAAGATTTATTTCATGTATATGACTTCATTGCCTGTATGTATGTACATGTACCACATGCTTTCCTGGCATGGAAGCCAGAAAAGGTCAGATCCGTGGAACAACTGGAACTGTGGTTCTGAGCTCTTGCAAAGGATCTGGGTTTAGTTCACAGAACCTACAAGGCAGCTCACAATTGTAATTCCATTTCTAGGGAATCCCTTTCTGACCTCCAGAGGCAGTGCACAAACATGGTGCACATACTTCCATGAAGGCACTCACACATACACATAATATAAAAATAAATAAATCATTGGAAAAGAAAAAGTTATTTGAAAGAAAATGGATGCACCTAGAAAGAGAGAGCATCATGTTAAGTGAAATAAACCGTGGTTACATTTAAGAAGACAAATGTGGCCTGGCAGTGGTGGTGCATGCTTTTAATCCCAGTACCCGAGAGGCAGAGGCAGGCAGATTCTGTGAATTCAAGGTAGAGCAACTTCCAGAAACCCTCCCTCAAAAAACAACAAACAAACAAACAAACAAACAAACAAAAGACAGATGTCTCTTCTCTCTTAGACATGGAATCTAAATTTCAGTAAGAACTGAAAGTAGACTGGAACTATAAGAGGAAGGGAACCAGTGGGAGAGGGATGTGGGACAAGGTAATTAAGAATGTGTGTGAACAGGAGCAAAGTACATGAATGAAAATGTCATAATGAAACTCATTGTTCAAAAATATAGGGACTGGAGAGATCATCAAGGATTAAGAACACTCTCTGTCTTTGAGAGGACACAGGGGACAGCACCCACATAGTGGCTTACAATCCTGCAACTGCAGTTCACAGGCTCATACACATACACATTAAAACAAACAAACAAACAATCCTTGAAAACAAAACCATAGCAGGGTGTGGAGGTGAATGCCTTGCAGTGGGAGGTGGATCTCTGGGTTTGAGGCCAGCCTGTCTGCAGAGCAGTTACAGACATCCAGGGCTACACAGAAAAACCTTGCCTCAAAAATACCAAACCAAACCAAACTCCGAAATCATAAAATTGGCTTAGTCCGTAAATTGGTAGTATTCACTCAATGCTGATTTGTTCCCTTGGTCTGGTGGGACAGTGCTAGGGAGGTAAGCCAGGGTCTTGTGCCTGCTAGTGCTTTAATTTTTATAACAAACCTGCTGGAATCTGCTTCTCTTGTTCATTTTACTTGGAGCTCACCGAAGCTGCAGGCCTTTATGGGTAGAAATGTAGTTGCTTTCCTATGAAGAGTTTTTGTTTTCTGCAGTCCAGGTACAGGGAACTAAGGATTAAACAAACATTTGTTGAAAGAACAAACAAAATTGACTGTCATTGTTATTTTTCCTTCCCCTTTCTCTGACTCTTTATTGCTATGGCGTTGACAGCACAAAACTTCGAAACGGGGAAGATTATATACAGCTGGAAAAGGTTTATTTTTCCTAACCTATGATTTCACACTTGGACTTTACATAGTAGGTGCCTTTCTGGACAATTTCTATTATGGATTCCATCCCCTGGCGAAGACTGAGTATCATTATGTAGTGAAGGCGGAGTCTTCTCCCAATTCCCCTGCTTCAGCCTCAGTGTTGGTATTACAGGTGTAAAGCACCCACTCAACCGAGTATCAAGATTGTGCTAATCACAACTCCACGCTGTGCTCAGTCTTACTAATTGTTTATTTAAACGTTCTCTGCTATTTCAAGGATGGTTCTGTGCATTCTTTATGAATTATCACCATGCTTAAAATGGGGCACACCAGTACTAAATTCGGCTTTGTAACAATGACTAATTCGCACACCTCGTATATGTAGTGCTAGATGGCTGCTTGGTGCCCGCTAACAACTTGACATCTACCCGTCCGGTTCCGTCGCTCAGACCTCCTGCTTACATCAGGAGGCAGCGTCCTGATCCTCCGCGACCTCTTTGTCATGGCGTCCGCGGGGCGTCTACCAGCTGAGGCTTCCGCAGTCAGGCGGGCGTGGACCTTCCCAAGATGGCCGGGCAGAGCCCAAGGCGCGCGGTGGGCGGGGTTCCGCCGCCGGAGGCGGGGCAGCAGGGCCGAGGGGTCGGGCTAGCAGGCGTGCAGCTTCCGAAGTAGGCAGGCTCAGAGCGCTTGCGCGGAGCGGCCCTGCGCGCAGTGAGGCAGTGGCGGGGGAAGGCACCGGTGGGGCCGACGGGCGGGCTGAGGAGGGAAGCGGGTGAGCGAAGTCCCAGTGCGCGCCGCGGCGGCCCGGGTACCCTCCCCTTCCGGGCGTGAGGCGCTGAGAGGAAAGCGGAGCGGAGCCGACTCGCATCGGCTGCTAGGTGCTTCTCCGGTCGCCCCAGACCGGCCTCCCGCGGCTTCGGCGCTCCAGTCGCGGGGCCGGGTTCCTCAACACATCTAGCCCCAGCCGCCGTCAGAGCTTGTCCGCAGTTCCTGGAAGCCCCGGCGGCAGCCTGGGCTCTTGGCGGGGAGGATGACGGAGCTGCAGTCGGCGCTGCTACTGCGAAGACAGCTGGCAGGTGAGCGGCGGGGCGCCGGGCCGCGATCGCGGGCTGACGACGCACTAGCATCCCCGAACCCACCTCCCCCATCCCCCCCGCCAAGACCCCAAGCTGCCGCCGGGGCTTCCAGGAACTGCGGACAAGCTCTGAC